TTGAAATTGTTTGCAATCGGGATTGTTGGAGAAAACATAGTGAATATGGAATAAAGTATAGGTGAAGCTTGTGGTGCTGAATTTAAATGGGAGGTATCAGTATACTTATAATCCCCTCCATATAAAATTTCTTAGCTCTGTTCACTGAAGAGCATGATACTCAGTTGTAAGGAGCACATCTCATTCTTGGATCTTGATTAAGAAATGTAATTCCCCACTAGCAGAGACTAGGATTGCTTGAAGAAATGGCTGATTCCAAGGTTGGGACAAGCAAGGTCAAAGGTCAGCCTGAAGCATCCAGTGCAAAAAAAATAAGGAAGTGCTCACAAAGTCGGGAGGCCAGGGAAAGCACACAAGAGCTGCCTTCTCTCACAGGACAAACTGCACAATTTGAGCACCAAAAGGAATTGACAATAAGGGAGTACAACACATTAACTTTTTTAAAAGTCCATGAGTCCATAGTGATAAAGTATAGGGAGGGAAAGATCTTTACAGAAGCATTCAGCTATAAATACAAAAGAAATGATAAACAGATTTAAGTGAAAATCATCAACAGATAACCCTAAAGGTACTGATGAAAGGTTGTTGGGTGCGTTAGCTTTCTATCACCATGACAAAATACCTGGAAAAGTCAACTCAGTGAAAGGATTTATTGTGGCTCACAGCTTTAGAGGTTTCTGTCCACGGTTGGCTTCACCTCCTGATAAGGGTATCCAATTTTTATTTCATCAGTGTAACTCATTCACTTGCTGAGGTCAAAGCCCTGATGATCCAGTTGGTTGCCAAACCCATCAGCAACCAAGCCTTCAACACCATGAGCCTTGCAGGTACCTATATCCAAACCACAACATGGGGGATCAAGATATTCACTTGGTCTCAAGAGCATCACCCAGAGTTTTAATTACAGTGGGAAAGGATGCAATGAGTGGTCTGGTGGACACTTTCTGAGCACAGAGGCAAAACCCCTGCCTGGGTTTCTCCTGTAATGTTACAGAAATATCCATCACCAAGGTAGCATCTGTGCCCAGTGTGGCTCACCAGAATTTAATCAGCCTGAAACAGACATATTGATATTGAACGAATTGTTCATCACAATTGGTTCTGGTCGGCTGAAGGCGATCAATTACCAAGCAGTGTTAGAAACTAGTAATTACTCTTATCGATCTACCTAAACATTCTTTTGTAAACCCACAAAAAGTAACAAAATGTGAAAAAAATACAGACTGTAGGACCATCTGCAAGGCAACTGCCTGGGCTCCTCAAAAGAGTGATGTGGAAAACAGTAAATAAAAAGAGGGGACTATTCTAGATTTTTTAAAAACTAAAAGGGGGAGTAAAAATGATCAAGATGTAATATATATATATATATATTCCAAGAAAAATATAATTATTATATATTACACATACTAATAAAAATTAAAGAAACTAAAAACCTCTCACAACCAAATGCACTGTGTGAACATGGGCACATGGGAACAGTTGGGGGAAATTTAATAGACTGTGTGTGACACGTTGCTCATGTAGGAGGATGCTCCTATTCTTGGAAGATCTCCACTGAAGTATGCAGGGGTGATTTTCATGACTATCTGTACTTTTCAAATGGCTCAGAAACAAGAAAGTAGCAACTTTACTATGAAGGGAAAACACCAATCAGCGGAATGTTAACAAAGGGATACAGATGTTTCTGGAACTACTGTTGTAACATTTCTGTAAATTGATAATTTTTTTCAATCGAAAGCTTAGAAAAAATGAATACCTCTGATGCTTCAGATACTTTAATAGAAGGAAATCTAGAGCTCATGTTGGCAAGGATGTTGTGTGTGCCCACTTCCTAATGCATGGAGGGAAGCAAGTGAGCTGCTTTGGAAGCAGGGCTCCCAGTGCCCAAGTGATGGGAGGCGGGGAGCTTCCAAGTGTCCAGCACGGGCAACCAGGTGGTCAAGGTGCTGCCATTTGCTGAGATGGCAAGCCCCAGAGGAGGAGACAAGGGTTTTGAGGGGTGGTGGGGACAAATATTCAATTTTGAACATCCATGCTCACCCAAAGCCCACACAGGGCCTGGGTTACAATCCCTGCTGCAGAAGAAATGCAGAGCTTGGGACTTAGCTCAGAGGATGGAAAAAGGATAAAAGGGTCTTTAATGATGGAGGATGGAAAGAAATAGCCGAGGATGCTAAACCTGAGTGGTAACACCAGGCAGAGGGACCAACAATGCAACTGCTCCTAAGACATCAAACAAGGTAGGGACACTTGCTACTGTGAGTTATTAAAAAGTAGTTTGTATAAAGTAAAAACATATAATCCCTGCCTACATGCTAGTAAACTAGATTAGCTTAAGGGATGAGGGTGGAGATTCAAGATCTGCCAAAACACCAGAGTCCCTCACCACCAGCAACATCACTTGGCCTATTGGTTACCCCTCCACTTGCTTGCACCTTTTCCCACCTGATGCCTGGAGACTGCAGTCTGTAACTATTGGTACCAGTCTCTCCAGCGCTTTTTCTTACTTGGAGTTTGCTAGGAAAGAAGCAGGACTTGGAGAATTTTTTTTCAGTACTAGAATCTCAAGCATGCAAGGCAAGTTCTCTACCACTGAGCTACACTGCCAGTGCCTTAGGAATTAATTCTTAATATGCTCTTTCAAAGGACACTGATAAGAGATCAAAAGCTGTAAAAGGAAATCCAGACCAAATTTTGAAAGCAGGAGAGATGAAATAGCTCAAAAATGATCATATTAGCCAGGTGCAATAGCACACACTTGTAATTCCAGCTACTTGGGAGGCTGAGTCAGGAGGATTGCAAATTCTAGGCTAGCCTGGACAACTAAATACAGTATGTCTCAAAAAAAACTTTTTAAAGGGCTGGTTGTATGGCTCAGTGGTAGAGTGCTTGCCCAACATGCAAGAAACCATAGACTCAACTTCCAGTAGTGAAGGGAGAAAATAGGCAAAAAGAAAACATCACATCAAGTATATTTATTATTTAGCTGAAGCTGATTCTGAAGATAAGAGAGCATACATAAGATGTGGGAAAGTAGGAATCAAATTGATCACCTCAATTAGTATAATCAAGTCATCCGAATGAGTTGTTCACCTTCCACTATAGAGAAACCCAAAACCAGAGTTGGTTCTGCTGGGTTGGTAAGATGTCCCATCCAAACTGACCAAATGAATCAGCATTTTCAGCCTCCTATGCAATAATGTGGAGTCATATGGACTGTTCATAATGGCAGGAAACAAAGTGTTCCCTCATGCTGGTCTCCTCTGGTTACAGAGTCCTGACCACTGCCACTGGGAAAGCTGAGAACTTTTCATCATCTAATACATTTGCGAAATTCATTGGCTTTAACAAACTGTTCCCCAAACACCTGGCCTGTACATTCTCCTCTAACCAGCCTGTACTATATCATATTTAGAGGGCACTTATAGGGTCTCATGTGCCTGGAAAAATATCCATCAGCTGTCAGAATAGCTTAAACCCATCTTGGTTCTGGTGAAACGTTCACTTCAGGGAAACACAGTGACCTTTTTGGTCAGACTTAGTAAGTTTTAACAAAATCCAGGTGAAGGAATCAATCTATCTGGAAAAAACAGAAAAGGTTTAAAAGCAGCTCCAAGAAATAATTTCAGGAGAGGAAAAAAAAAAAAGATGTGAAACCCTCCACATCATCATACAAGGCAACGAGCAATCAGATTCCACAGATGGGGAACTTTCCTGTAATCCCAGTTTTAAATGGTGGTTTCCAAATGTCTTGAGGTTGTGAGGTCTTCCTGCATTTCCCCCCAGTGCCTCAGAACCTTAATGCTTTGTTTTAAGAAGTTTAAAATTCATTAACTGTTTTGATCTCTCATCTGACTTGCCCAAAGCCACAGACTAGAACATCAAGGAACCAACATATCTAGTATATATCATTCTGAAGGTGAGATACACAGGACACTATTCTTTGAGTGAACTGCTCCTCATTCCAGAAAGGTCTGCTATATTTTGTGTGCAGGGGTTCAAGGCCATGTCTGCAGGACAAGAGCACTCCATTCAACATGTGTGAGTACTCAGTAATACAGAGGCATGTTTTTTATAGAGCCCTAGCATTCCCATACTGGCTTTAGGCTTGAAACCCTAAGCCCCAGTATGTGTCTCTGCTGACAACAGGGCTCACCTTCTCAAGCCCTGCAAGCAGCCAGAGAGCTAGAAAGGGAATGGTTCCCACTGTAGGAGAATCCAAAAGATGGGGAAAGGCTACAGCCTGAACAAACAAACCCACTGAAACTTTTGTTTACTCCTTTGCAAGCTCTACCATAACCTGACTCCCCAAGGAGTCCTGGCTCCCGACACAAAGGACATACACGTGACTCCACAAAGGCTCAGCTGCACTGGTGTTCAGAGCCCACTGCACGCAATGAAGACCCACATTAGCTCCTTAAAAGGATGTTTTAGAAGTCCATGGCAAAAACCCAATCCAATTATAAGATGATTTTTGAGTAAGAATAAACTACTGGCTGCGGCTTTATAGAATCTAAAGATTTCTCTATTAAAATCCTACCACCAAACTGCTGTGAAACTAAACCAGCACTCTTCAATATCCTTCTATCCCAAGGGCAGGCCAGAGTGGGTGGAGAGCTCAGTTGTAGAGTACTTGCCCAGTTTGCACAAGGCCCTGACTTCCATCCCCAGTATTGCATGAGGAGAAGAAAAAAAAAAAAAGGACCACTTCAAAAATCTGTTGTGGGCCAGTTTTTATCATAAGACATTTGTCAGCCTCCAAGGGACAGATGTGTAAGAAGGAACGTTCTGCTCGCACTCTCTTGACAACATGAAGATGGGCAGCTGACAGATAAATTCGGACACAGCAAATGTCATTTTCAACTTCCTGAGCAAGTGATTTCAGTACAAGGGTATTTAAGGTAGGATTTAGGTAGATCCTCATTTGAATATGTACAAAGACTCTTATTCCCAATACCATCTCTCAAACAGAAATAACAAAACGCAAGCCAAGTTTGACACATTTTTTATATACAAATATAGGGGTAATGGTACAGATGAAATTACTTTATAAATACCTGCAAATCCCCTAAAAAAGATGTGAATTTAAAACTCTCTCAGCACAAAGGCCTGCCCCTTACCAAGAGTGTGACCTTCCAGAGCACCTCCTGGGAAGAAGAAGAGCCCTTCAGACAAAGACAAGAGTCTTCCCATCTCCCCAGAGGGTGGAGGTGACTTGAAGGTCATCTGCTGCTCAGGACTTGGGTGTGATTAAACTATTTCTTCCCAAGCTTTCAGTCTTCTTTGTCAGGCAGCTGATTAAGCGCTCTCTGTTTCCTGGCAGTGGCCCAGAGGGAGGGAGAAAAGGGACCTACAATAGTATAAGGAAGTAAAAAATTCTGGATATTTTGATTTAAAAAAAAAAACACTTGGTAATCAATGGAACCCTGTCCAGCAAATGTATCAAATTTACCAGGGGGAAAACCTGTAATTTAGCATTCTGGAATCTACACAGGCAAGCGATTCTTTATGAAGATCATTACTTAGCACCAATTTCTGTCTCTCTGGGAACTCTGCCCTTTCCTTTGAGTCCCTGGCTGCGATAGTACTGTCACAGCGGGGCGTGGAGGGGCACAGAGTCACCACCAGAGGACAAACAGCCAGCTCACACCATGGGCAACTTTTCTCGGGTATTGTCCTGACTTGGGAAACACAAGCAGCTCCACAGTCTCTTCCTGGGGGCGCTTTCTGGCTCTCCAGGCCCCTGGGCTTTACTCAAAGTGCCGTAGGTGGTTGTACAGGGACTGGACGTAGGTGAAGACGCACATGGGGTCCGGCTTGCGGCCCATCACCATCATGTCCTCCACTTCAATAAGGCGCTCGCAGTTGGCCAGGTTCCTGCAACAGAGAAAACCCCGTGAGAACGCAGTCTCACCCAGCAGCTAGCCCAGCCGCAACAGGATCCAAATTCCCATTCCCAAATCAGACTCCTGTATCCATGCACCATCTGTACAGTTCACACAGCTCATTTTTTTATTTATATAGAATCACTTTTTTTATAGTAGTAGTGGGAACCGAACCCAGGATATACTATGCTACATCTCCAGCACTTTTATTTTGAGACAGGGTCTCTCTAAATTGCCCAGATTAGGCTCAAACTTGTGATCCTCCTGCCTCAGGCTCCCAGAGAGCCAGGATTATACCATGCCCAGCTTACAGTTGCTGTTTTGATTTGAAAACTTTATGCAAATTTTCAGTGAAATTAAGTTTACATAAAAAATTAAATACACCTCCATTTAGTACAGAAAATAAGCATGATCTGTAAAAAATATATAACTAAACAAAAAATAAATTCACCCATTTGCCTCCTGAAACAGTATTTTTTAACATTTTTCAAAACTATGACCTTCAATAAGAAAGATATTTTCCATAAAGTTTCAGGACACACATACATATACATACCCACACACTCAAGCAGTCTTAAATTGAAAATATTAAGGAAAAAAACTCTATAGTGAACATATACAGACTTTTTTTTTTGCCTCTAATTATTCCCTAAACCATACAGGATAATAACCATTTACACAGCATTTACATTTTATCAGGTATTATAAATCACCCAGAGATGGTTTAAAGAATCTAGGAGGATGTACATAGGTTATGTGTAATCTATGCCGTTTTGTATAAGGAGCTTGAGCACCGGTGGATTTTGGCATCTGCAGGGGTCCTGAACCAATCTCCCGTGAATACTGAAGGATGAATGTATGCAGAAATAAGCCATCACAGAAATTCTAACCTTTACAACTGACAATATTTTCTCTGTATTTCATATTTATCTCTCCCCTCTCCTTTTATAGATGCTGGTCATAAACCACTAAGCTGATAGATCATAACTGGCAGTTGAAAAAATTGCTCAAACTCACCTTGTCGCTGACCTCCAATACCACCCCTCCCAAGGCCCTGGGCCTCATGTCCTGGAATACACTGGTGCATCAACTATGACCACTTCTTTCTTAGGGCTCGGAGGGAAAGAGGCTGGCAGCCTCCAGGAGGTGGGAAGGTGCACATCAACAGTCAGGACATGGAGCCCTGCACAGCTCAGTACTGAGCTCCAACCTAATAATGATGCACATCCACCCAAACACAAGCAAGGCCCTCCCACATCCTTTTTTCTGTTTACGTGTGCCTGGGTCTCCTGGTACAGAAACAGCCAGCCAATGTCACACAGAATCAAAGAGGCAACACAACTTCTTAGTCCACTCAACAGAACCCACCCCCTGCAGCGTACACTTCTGTAGTTCCAGCGCTCCTCGGTCTTCTCACCCCCTAAACCCCAGGTCAATGAGCGCGTTCAAATCCCATCTGCGTCTCTCATACTTAAATTCTACGAGCCTCAGGTTCCCCATGTGGTATAATAGCAGAGTTACCAGAGGATCCATGAAAATCAGCTGAAAGAGCTCCAGAAACTGTTAGAAATGATTACACCTGCTGATTTTGTGATCATGCCTTGCTTTAAGAAGCAAGATGGATTATGGAAAAAAAAAAAAGAGGCTGAATGTGAAATCTAAACATTTGGCCTCAGATCCTGACCCTGCCAAAAGCCTCTCTGAGAGAGGTGACCCTGCTTCACCTCTCTGTGCCCATTTCCTGGACAGAAAACCAGAACACATCTCTGTTCTCCCTCCCAGTGGGTTGGCTGTCACTGTGCTTCTGCAGGGTGTCCTTATATGCCCTGTGCCCCCAGACAGCTCCACCAGAGAAGATAGCCCAGCAAGCAGGCCAGGGTCCTTGGGCTAAACTGGAGCTTTCAGCGTAACTCATGCTGCACTTTCCACCAGGACACAGCACTGGGCAGCTCCCAGGGCTGTGTGCTCCCAAGACAAAGCCTGTAACATTACCACTGGGCCTGCTCTGTGGTGCTGGCCAGAGGCCAGGCGTCCTATCACAAACCAAATGTCAAGGCGAAATGGAGACATCTGTCCCGGATCCTGTCCCTGCCTTCCCTTCAGAGTTGGAGCAAGCAGCCTATAAGGGAATCCGATGGCTTCGTGGGGTGACAGCGGGTTTGGCCCCATGGCTGGGTACCCTTTCTCCTAAGAACAGGCAGTGGCAGAGTTCAACATCAGACAAGTCAGTCCTCTGACCAGAGAAAGCATGTAATGAGCTCTGTGGACAGGGGCTAAGGAATCTGAGTTCTTCAGAGAGCCTGAGACCTGAGCTCACTTTATGGACTCCTACTAGGTATCCGGTGCCCTCCTCCTCACCTGCACAGGGAGAACCCCTTCTCACTCTTTCTCTCCTCCCTCTGGTCCTCAAAAGCCATCTACTCAGAAGATGCCAGGTGTGGACAAACAGGCTACATGTGAACCCAGGTTACCACCATCCACATAGTAGCCTCAGTTGCCCCCAAGTTATGCAAGGACAGCATTAGAATCGCAGGACCTTTTCTTTGGAAGAGAACTCAGATATTATCCCAGCCAAACACCCTGATGATCAGAAGCACGTCATCTCTAAGTCCAAGACAAGAAACCTAAAAGTTCTTCTAAGGATAATTCCACGGCTCCAGCCATGAGAAAAATTATTCCTTATACTGCTTGTGCTTTTTTTTTTGGTACTGGAATCGAAGTCAGGTTCTCTCACTTGCCAGGTGGATGCTGCACCGCAAAGCTACACTCCTGGCCCTCTTACTCTATCCAGCTGCTCCCTACTCCACTGCTATTTTTAGATCAAGCAGAAGAGAGTATGGGGGTTCCCGAGAAGGGAGATCACAGCATGCAATACGCAGCCACCATCTCCCTGCCCTCTTTTCTTTCCCCGTGCCATCTCTGCCCCGCACCCACTTCTCCTGGGGAGCTCTGAGTTCTCCCTCCGATAGGTAAGATAGTATCCCTGTCTTACGATTCCATGGCATGGCCCATGCCAAATCTCAGAGGCACTGGCCTTCCACCTCAGCTTGTCCCTGCAGACAGAGCACTCTCCCTCAGAGATAGGTGCCAGCCACATGAAAACAAGATTCCTAGAAGCTGCAGGGCACAGGCTGAACACAAGTCGGGGGACGGCATAAGAGAAAAAGGAACTGATGGCCACCATTGACTTTGATTAAAATATTTAAATCTCAAAATATCAGCAGCTCTCAATAATCCCCTGCTGGGAGATTGAGGCAGAAGGATTGCAAGTTTGAGCCCAGCCTGGACAACTTAGCAAGACCCTATCTCAAAATAATAAAATTTTAAAAAGGGCTAGGGATGTAACTCAGTGTAAAGGCAATGGGTTTAATTCCCTCGTACTGAAAGAAAAACGAAACAAAATAAAACTTCCCCAATTGCCTTTTATATATTTTTTAAAAGCCTTTGTAAAAACAATACAACCTTGTTTTAAACAATTCAAACTTCATGGTAAAGTCCAAAGGAGAAGGTGCAAATCACTTCCAATACTACAACACAGCAAGAGCCAAAGTTAACACTGCTCTGCTCTCATGGACTTGCTTAAACGCTGCCTCATTGGGACTGGGACAAATGTTTAAAGGATTTTCTCATATTCCCATTTTTGTGATCTTCCGCTACCATAGGGCCAGCCTGTAAGGAACATGAAGGAGGGGCTTGGGGGTTATTTTTATTTTTTTTAAAGCCTGCTCTAAATGCGGGCCAGGGTGCCAGGACTCAGACTGCTGCCTCCTGTCTCATTTTAGACAGAGACACATGGGCACTACAAATAGCCTGGAAGCCCCTTCTGCTGGGCGTAACCCAAGAGCAGGGCACATTCCACTCAGGGCAAATGGGAAGCCTCAGGCTACACGTCCCACATCCTGTGCTCTGCTCTGGGAGAGGTGAGGAGGAAAGGTGCAGAGGGGTCAGGCACCCTCCTGGCTCAGCCTTTTCCATAAAAGGGGTTGGTTCACCCTAGTTCCAGGCCCGGAACACCTGTCGGGCCAGGGAAGCGCACCCAGCTGTCAACACGGTGTCACTCACACAGATTAGGCCACAAGGAATCTCTGGGCCCAGAAGTTATGGGAGGAGGGGCAGCACGCACCATTTTACTCCAAAGGCTCCGGCTGTATCTTTGTGCCTGGAAGGCACCTGCTCACAGGCTTTGGCATTATTTCCTTCCTGATGCTGGGTGGATGCACGGTTTGGGGACCTCATGTCTTCTTCTCCTTTCCAGAGTTCATGCCTTGATCAGATCCCAGGCTCCTCTCATCTGCTGCTTGCTCTCAAAACTGCCATTCTTAGCTCTGTCCTCTGCCTGCCTGGCTCTCGATGGCTTTCAACAACCCTGTGTGTGTGCTCAGATTTTGCTGGCAAACCTCCGAACTATATACTGAAGGTGGTGATTGCCAAGATCCCCAAGCAGGTGTTCCTGCACTTTCTCCTGGCTTTCCTAACCAGCCAGTTATCCAAGAAACCAGGGGATCCAAGCAGCTGTCCTCCCTGTCCTCCCATGAGGCCTCAGGCAGGCAGGCTGTCTTCCCAGCCCCCTCCCCCATTACCTGAGAGATAATCTCAGAGATGGTTCATAATCTCAGGCTCTCTGAGCAATCTCTCCACACAGGCCTGCCACAGACGCCCCTCCCCACACACTGGAGTCAGCAGAAAAGCCAGACCTCAGCATGGTAGCCCCATCACACCCTCCTCCCTTCCTCAGTCAAGAGCAGTTTCAGGCATAGGGAAGCACGGCCAAAGTTTTTACCCCTGTTTGCTTGGGGAAGAAGGAAGGCAAAGCCTGGATCAGCCTCCAGCACACCGCACCCCCAGGCTGGGAACAGAAGAAACATCTGTTTAGAGTCTGGAGGCTCTGTGGACTCAAACCTCATGTTGGGACAACAGCCTTGGAACCACTCTGGCTCTGGCTGCCAAGGGAAGCTGTGCTCCCTGAAAGCTGGGGAAAGAGGTCACCATCTGATGGCCCATGGTGTCCTTCTGCCTTGGTCCAGAGCTGAGGGTGACCAAGGAAGCCATGAGATGAACTGCCCTTGCGTGGCCCACTGGACTGAGAAGGTAAAGAACTCTGAAAGCCAAGCCGAGTTGGGCCCTTGGTGCCCACGTGGGAACCCTGATCCTGCACATTCTAACAGTCTGGTTTTTGACAGTTGCCATTTCTGAGTTCCAAGCAGCTGGGCTTCCTCCTGTGAGCCAACCCCTCCCCATATCATGCCTCGACACTTGGCACGACTCCACCATCGTCTGGATCCAGTTGCATAACACACTCGGCAAAGCTGTTTCTGCTATTAGGATGACAACTAATCCCAAGCAGCCAAGAAAGAAAAGGCTTTTAAAGTACACAAGGAGTACTTATGACCCCAAGGGGGCTGAGAGTCCCAGCAAGTCATCTGAGACAACACAATGGGCCAACACTGATATTCCAAATCCTCAGGCGAGGAGCTTAGAGCCAGAGGCTCCATTCTGTCCCCAAAGTGAGCAGCTCTCCAGGCTCCAGGCAGGCTCACAATGCCAAGAGTGGGTTACCAGACCCCAGGCACGACCCCTTCCCTGGCCAGGCTCGGGGCCTGGTATAGGGGGCTGGAGCTGGGTGGCTGGGCCAGGAATGGAATAAGCAGGACAGGCAAGGCCTGGGGTGAGGCTTCTTTCACCCTCACAGGATTAGAAGCACACGAAACAAATATGGTCCCTCGAGGACAGACCCAGTCTGACAACATACAGCACAAAGGCAGGGGAGAAGACAGACAGGCCCTTAAGAAACTCAGCTTTGGAGTCGACCTGCCAGCTATCTGACCTCAGAGAACTCTTCACCACTTGCCTATGCCTGCCCAGGGGATTATGAAGGCCACAGTGATGGCTCCCCTGCCCTCTCTCTTCGGACTAGGGTCAGCCAACAAGAGACCCAGGTGAGAGGGCAGGAGGGGAATGAGGTTAGAGCATGTGCCTCGTGCCTCCCTCTCTACCAGGTCACAGTGTTCTAGCTGCACCCATTTGCCAAAGCAATCAACAGCCTCTGCACGAAGCCAGTGCCCTCTCCAGCTCCAGCAGCTGCAGGCAGGGGGATGACGACTGCTCCGTACATGCTGCTGTTACCCCGAGGGTGCTGCTGCTGTTACCCCGAGGGTGCTGCTGCCCCGTCCTGCGTCATTTCCCTCACTGCTGCCCACACTTTGTGAAGAGTTCCTTTATGAAACTCCTCCTCCAAGCTGAATGTACACTCATCCCCTGCCAGGGCCTTGCTGAACAGACCTTGCTTAACCACCCTCTCCTGATGCTCTGGGAGTTTCCCTTGGCCGATAATCTAATCCCAAATGGGTTTCCCAAGCACAGCCCTGATACAGGAGAAGAAATATGAAAACAATTTATCTCCCAACAGGTTAGATGTCTGATATGCCTAGTTTGTTTTTTCATTCGAAGAATGAATTCTAGGAACAGCAGAGATTAAGGGTAGGAAAATATTTATTGAGAAGATAGCTCACGAGAGGCAGGAGGAGTCCCAAATGGATAGTCAGGGACCCCACTTTACAGGGAAGTTTTATAGAGCAAAACCTACGTGAGGACAACATGGGTTACCACTTTGATTAACCAATAAATTACAAGTATAGTCACTTAGGTAACAGTAATCCAACAGGGACACAAAGAAGCAAGAGTACACGGAATAAACAAACAACTTCCCAGGTAGGTGATAGATCTGGGGGTCTGGGTCATCCGCTGATGCCTATCTAGACTTCACTGGACCAGGTGTTATCACTTATCTCATCCCTTGAGGAATTATGTAGGCCTGGTCTTTTTGTCTCTTATCTTGAGGCCTGGCCCCCAACTGGTGCGTCTCTGGCCATAGCTGTAGTGTGTTTTCACATTTTGTCCTGACTCTCTCAAGGGCTCAGCCCCGTCTGACTTCCTATTATATTTCCATCTCACTTAGCTGTCTACAACAGCCTGATCCCAGGACTGGTCCCTCCTCCCCAATCCTCCTACCATTTTGAGCCCTGGCCCTTGGTGTGATGGTGTTGAGAGGTATGGCAAGCTTTTAAGAGGCATTTGGATCATGCGGGATCCACCTTTATGAAAAGATTAATGTAGTTCCCACAAAAGTGGGCTAGTTATCTCAAGAACAGGTTGTTGGAAAGTGTGCAGCCCTCTCTGTCCCCTCCCTCACTTGCCGTTCTACTATGAGCTGAAGCAGCACAAGGCCCTCACCAGATGAGCAGATAACATCACCATGATTTTGGACTTCCAGCCCCCAGAATTGTAAGCCAGAAGAAACCTCTTTTCTTTATAAATTACCTGCTGTAAGGTATTTCATTATAGCAATAGAAAACATACTAAAAAAGGTTATTTCACTGTAAACGTTAGGACAGTTTTGGGAAGAAAAATCTACTTGTGCAATGTCCCAGATATCATCTAGTTTCTTGCAGGTCAGTGGTTGGGATCTTCCAAGCAACACATCTTTTCACCAGCCTGAGAAGCAGACCCATTTCCCTGGGGACCCTGTCCCACTGCCCCTTCACACTCTGTCTGTGGATGGTCTCCTAGACTGAACCTCAGAGGCTGGGTACCCAGGAAGGGGAGCAGGAATGCCAGGAACAGAGAGACCCTGCTCTACTACTGGGTACTAGGCGATGCTGGGAAAATCTCCTGACAGGCCTTAGTCTTCCCATCTGTATAACAGGAACACAGAACTATGGCCTCGAAATCCCTTGGCTCTTTGGACACCTGCCCAGGTCCTGTGTGCTCCTACATCGTACCTGGGCAGGAGTCAGGCTAAGGTCTAGGCTGGGACCAGGGACCATCAAAATCTGCCATACTCACTCAGCCATGGTGAAGGCCAGCTCGAAGTTCTTCTGCCGCTGTGTGGGGCTCAGGGCATTGTAGTCGAAGGCATCGGGAAAGAAGGAGTGCACCAGGGCACAGAAAGCCATCCCATCGCTCCAGCTGGAGGAGAAGTTCTGCAGGTCCACGTGCTAGAAACATGACAAGCAGGCCTCAGTGGGGATGATCACCTCAGCTCCCCACACCCAATTCAACCAAATGAGCAGATCCTCCCAGCCCTTCCCCAAGGCCCACCAACTACCCATCAACCAACGGCATCACCAGGCCCCACCCTTTCAGGTGCGCTAGACTGGTCTGGTGGGCCTACATCTGGATTCTTCAGATTCCTACCTACCTGTGGCATGTGGCTAGGATGATTTCTCTGGCTCCTACCCTATCCCCCCAGCTGTGGCAGCCCAGAGGAATAAAGGCAGAGGGACAACGGTGTCTGGTCTGACCTTGGGTTGGGCTTACCTGGTAGCCCAGGGTCTTGCTGCGGCACCACTCAAGCAGGATCTGCTTGATGCTGCTGGCACTGGCCACACCAAAGCTCTGTGATCTCTTCAGCTTGGCCCGAGCCTCACCTTTGCCCCTGTGGAGAGAAGGCAGCCCTGCTGTGGGGGCTGGAGGGAGCACATTTCCATGCCACCCAAGAAGATGCCCCCCGATATGCTCTCTCAAGGGCAATACTGGTCAATGCACAGCCCAGCCCCATACACCAGCCATACAACCCCCTTTAATGCCATCTGGCAGGATGGTCCTCCCCCTTCCAGCCCTCCAGGACCCCATGTGTCTCCCACAGCAGAAAGCAGGGTTCCCTGGGAAGCCCTGACACAGAGCCTGAGCCGGCATGGCCTCATGCCCCTGCACTCTTCCTGGACCACTCCCTCCTCATCCCAGCTCCTCTGAGCCCCCCTCAGACAGAAAACTTCCCAGATGGCTCTCTCCTAGCCAGAAGGGGTAATCTCTCCCTAATGGACACTTTCTAATGGCCTAGGTTAGGCTGCCTGGGGTCAGTAGGAGGCTTCCTGGACCTGACTCCCTCATCACATAGGCCTGGGTTACAGTCTGCATATAGCAGGTATCAATAGCGTGCACTGCAAAGATGACTAGATAAATACGCAGAGGCCGGCAGTAACACAAGGATCCCTTTGCTAAAGAGCATGGTAGTGACTAGTAGGGTTCTGCTGTGTCACCTCTTAAGTCCCACCCTTCAGTGGGGCACCCAGCACCAGCTAGGACTCCCAACCCCTGTAGGTTCCCCAGTTATGCCCCAAAACTGGAGGAGCCGCAGCCAATGAGGAACTCAAGCAAGGAGGCTTGGGAGTCTGGGGGTGCTGAGGACCAGGGTGCCAAGAAATGGACGGCGGATCCTCATCAGATCTGTTCTGGCTCCCACAACCCTCACCTCTGCACAACTAGGGTCCCCTGACCAACCCCCAGCCCACCAGATGATCATGAACTTTACCCGAGAGGTCTGATCTGGGGGAACAGGACAGGGCCCAGCCTTCCTATGCCTGCCTATCTGACCAGAGGCAGGGCTGGGCCTACTCAGGGGAACAGGTTTGGTGGGCACGGGGGATCCATACTTGCCCGCTGTGTCCTGCTCCCATTTCTCAAACAATGCCTTCCGGGCCTGTGCCCCTGAGGTGCGGGGCAGCGTCTGTGACCTCACCAGCTCCCTGCGACGCTCCCCTTGATGAGGAGCCTGAGTTGTGGATGGCAGCTTCGGAGACAGGGGAGACTGGGGTGGCGTCACCAATGGTAGGCTAAGCAGAGAACCACCAAGTCAGAACACGGGCCTGGACATCCTGGCTCCCCTGAGCCTGGGTCTGGCCCCCACTCTGTGTGATGGACCGGAGCCCTGCTCGCCCCAGTGTTCAAACGATTTGACAGGTTCCAGAACAGAGCTGCAGTCTGAAGCCATCGGGCCCAACTGGGGAGGAAGGGTGGGCCCCTCTCTGGGCATAACCACCCCTTGGCAGGTGTCAGTCTCCTCGTGCAAGAGGTGTACCCAGCGCCAGCCCCACCAGGACAGGCCTCCCTCCTCACTACCACTCCACAAGATCCCCTCTGTGTTCCCCTGGAATGATCTACCAGGAAGTCACAATTCTCCTTTTATTACTAAAAGGGAGGAAAAAAAAGCCAAGCTTGCCACCCCACCCCAGTTTCAACCACAGTTCAGCAGGCCTGGGGAGCACAGGGCCCCTACAGTCCCGAAGGAGGTCTGCATCATGGGGAAGCCCTGCTGCCAGCCCCAGCCTGCAGGCCTCTCCAGGCACCTGCTCTGAGAAAGTAAAAGGTCGTCCTGTCCTTCCCATGGAGGCTAAGACACAAACAAACATACACGTGCACACGCACACACACACACATGCACACACACACACACATGCATGAGAGCACACCTGCAATCTTTTTTTTTTTCAATGCTAGGGGTCAAATTCGGGGCCTGGTGCATTCTAAATAAATGCTCTATCGATGATCTATACCCTAGCTAGGGTTGTCTGTTTGTTTGTTTATGACCCAGGACCTTTGCACTATGCTACATCCCCAGCTGTTTAAATTTTTATTTTTATTTTGACACATGGTCTCACTGAGTTATGCAGTCTGTCCTTCACCTTGCAATCTCCTACCTCAGCCTCTCAAGTACCTGGGGTTGCACACCTGCAATCTTTTTATTTATGGTAGTGAGGTTTTACATTTTATAAGGCAGAAAAATAAATGCGCTCTGCGGAGCGAGCGCAGATCAATTAAAGGTAGGAAGAGAAGTATACGTGGCAGAGTGCAGAGTGGGCCACTGACAAAGACAGAACACAGAGGCCAACAAGGTTAATGGTGATTCTCTTTTATGGCCTCCATTCTGATATCAGATCTAAGCCATTCTATCAAAAACCTGCTTGATTTTGAACCAGAAGAAGTGAAAATAGCATTTTCTGATTGGTCCCAGGTGCAGGGCTTGGAACTGTTTTTCTGTGCATATAAGTGTCCTGGATTTCCATGACTGACGCATCATGCCCACGTGCCCAGCTGGCTGTCATGCCCTAATCTCCTGCCTCATTTTACCCTCAGAGGCACAAATCCCCCTAATTCTTTACAGGATTCTGAGGGTTCACACCTGCAATCTTTTAACTGACTTGCTTCGAGGGGCCCCCAGAGAAGCCGTGCTGCAGCCATGCTTCTCCAAATAAACCTCTCCACAAAGCCAGTGGCCTCACTTCACCCTCGGTATTACCCTGCTCCTACCCTACCCACTAATCCAGCTGCTTTAACGCTCCAGAGCCCCAACCCCTAGGAAGATAGGAAGCTCCCTGCAGCAGACCTGAGCAGCCCTGTCTCAGGCAATGCAGGGAAGCCAGTTGGGAGCAAGGAACTCACCTGTCCTTGCACTTGACTGCTGTCACTCCCCTGTAGCCAAAGCTAGACAAAGACCGAGTGAAGGAAGAATTCTCTGCAGGATGAAAAAAGAGAAACAACACACTTGGCCTCAGGGAAGGCCAGCCACAGTTCCCTTCCTTTGACCAAGCCCCACCCCATTTACCCAGCATCACTTGCGGGGAGGGCAAGCAGGAGCCCTGCCTCACCAAACTGAGGAGGAAGGAGGATGGGGACATACAGCAGTGATATCAAAGATGTCCTTTAAATTGTCCCCTACCCGGTTCCTGAGGACACAGAGCCCTAAGGCTGTGTGACCAGAAAACACTGTCCCCAAACCCTCCTTTGGAAGTCCATATAGTGCAGCCCAGGACACATCACTGAGGCTGACCACAGGCCCACGACAGGCCTGGGAGGGGACTGTGAAAATGTATAAGGTAACCAGGGCCTTGACCCATCACAAAAGTCATGGCCATTGTCCACAGAGGACGATGCCATTTTGGTATCTCTGAAAAGGAGTCTGTCAAGATCAGATCCCCTTTGACAGAGCAAATAGAATAAAGAAAGAGGTCACAATGATGGGCGGAGGTGGGCTGGGGCTTGGCTTGGGTTTCCTGAGTCTCCTGCAACCCCCTGCCCCTGCCCTCCCTCTCCCACCCTGAGGTGGGTGGACCCCCACACCATGCTCTCCTGTTCATACCAGTGGTACTGGGAGTCCAGGGGGTGGTGTCTTCCCTGGTGCTGGGGCTAAAGCCCCCCAGGATGGCAGCAGATGTGGGTGACAGAGCTGCAACTGAGGTCTCCCCAGAGAACTTCTCAGAGACACGGGTGACAGCTGTGACTGGCTGATGAGGCAACTGCAAGGGGAGGCTCACAGGGCGAGGCCTGGGGGGATCCGGTACTGAGGTCTGGGCACCCTCAGTGGGGCCACTGCCTGGACCTGGAATGTGTGACCAGGAGAGGTGGGTCAACTGTGGGGGCCACAGGAGCCTCAGACACCCCACCCAGGAAGCCTCCAGTTCTCTAGCCTTCTCTCCCAGGAAGACTTCCCTAACTGTTCCAGTTTCCTGGCCTTCCTCGCTAGGGACATCTGGCTGCTCCAACCGGAGATAATTCTTCCCAATTTCCCCTCATAATACATTCAACAGATACTAGTTGGCTTCTCAGTCCACTCCTTACTCTCTTTACTGTTTGGACAATTCCTAAGCCCCTACTTGTTTCCCTCCAGAAACAGGGAAGCTCATTACCTTCTAAGATCTCCCATTTCCCTTTGTTTAAAAAGCTCTGCTATACACTGAACAATGCTACTATCCTAGAATCCTCTCTGCCTACTGGGGTTTAGACTCCGTGTTCCCCACCACCCTTAGCCAAAGGACCGCTGGCATAAATGCCTGGCTGGGACCCCAACCCGCAAACCTCCCCAAATACCTCTCCCCTACCCTCAGCCCTACCTGCACCTGGCTGGTGTCCATTCTCGATGATGCCTGAGTTTGAAGTTCGTCTCATCTCTGGCTCACTGGCTTCATCATGATCCACACTCTGCAGCAATACGGACGCCACTGCGGCCCCATCAACAGGGACCAGCTGTCTACCCCAAAACCACTTTCCAAAGTCCCTCTTGGTTCTGCCAGGGTAAATCTTACTCATTTGGGGAGGGAATGGTCCCCAAGAGGAACGGTGGTAAGCCAAGGTCAAGAGCAAGTTGGGATCAACCCACCCAGCTACAGAGCCTGACATACTGAAAGGCAAACACCTCTCCTGGGCCCATCCCAAAGCCCAAAAAAGCTGAGGACAAAGGCCAAGGTTGACAGCTCTGAAGCAGTGTGTCAGGTGGCTCTACCCCTCCCCCGCTGAGCGGATGATGGGGTGGGAGGGCCTGGCCCCTTTTCCTCCCAGCTGGGCCAGGCCAGCATGGCTGCCCACATGGAAGCAGCAGGAACTGGGTGGCACAAGGTCTTACAGGCCAAAGGATGGGCATCAGAGCCCTTCACACAGACACCACACAAGGACAGATTTTCCAGAGGCCTCACCAGCTCCGTGCCAGCCAGCCATCCCCCACTGGACTGAGCTGCTGGGGAATATCACGTCCCCTCTGCATCTCAGTTTGAAAAACAGGAGAAGCCTACATAAATGCCATTTGGACATCATCGGACATGAAGCCCATTTCACAGATGGGACTCCAGGGCTCAAATAGGAGACATGCACTGTTCAGGGCTATACAGTGAAATTCAGCTGGGATTGTGGCGGCCCTTTGTCCTTCCTTCTCTTGGTGAGGGTACCTCAGGCTCAGAGTGTCATTGGGGCTGGGGGTGTCAGCCTGGCAAGAGGGGACAATAGCAGACCCCAACCAGGCCATGCTGGGTAGCTTGAGAGATTGGCCTTCCCCTAAATGTCTCCAGCCGGGTGCCCTGGTCTACAAGCTTCCCAGCCCCAGATGGCTCAGGTCCTTTGTAACCAGTGCTGCAGGTGCCCAGACTACCATGGGGTAATCAGGCTGTCAGG